ACTTTCTAACATTTGATTCTCAACATTTGGGATTGTCTCCATTCTGCAGATGAGAAGATAGAGCTCCCAGAGAATGAAATGCCTTCCTAGGAAATAGCAGGGCCACAATTTGATTCCAAATCTGAATCAGAAGCCCATGCTCCTACCTGACTCCTCCAACCCTCTCATTTTTCTGTTCCTTAGACTTACCAGAGAGTATCTTGAAGGACTGTGAAAACCTCCTTTAAACCCTTGGCCAGAAGGACTGAGGGAGATGAGCTTCAGAGAGTCAATAGGGGCCTTTCCTCCCCACACCCCAGACACACACTGTCCAATGTGTGTCTCCAGGTGCCTCAGAAAAGAGATGAGCTGCAAGACCCAGGGCAAAGAAGGCAGACCCCTGGCAGTGTTTAGAGGTCTGAATGATAGTGTCTGATTTTTCCCCAGGGCAGACAAGGCTCAGTGCCTGGTATCCATGGAGGAGCAGAGGACAAACCCCTGTGAAGCAGAAAAAAATAATTGGTTGAAAAGAGATATGACCTCAGGGTACCCGCTTCTCTGTAACTTTCCTGAAGAGAAGCCAGGCTTTCCTGTAGCCCTGCCGACCTTTCCTGAATAGGCCAGAAGTCAGTTTCTTGGAACAGAAGTGGGGTGCCATGGATACTTCATTACCCACATTGAAAGTTGAGTTACCTGAAAAGCCTAGTATGAGGCCCCTGGGTAGGGTGCTGTCTCTCCAGTAGGAACTATCTACTGCTACATTACTATGAAGACAGAGGTTTCACAGCTACCATGAAACAAAGATACTTTTTAAAAAAAATAAACTCAGGGCCTTGCACATGCTAGCAAGTGCCTTACCACTGAGCTATAAACCCAGCCTCTACAGCTACAATTTTGAAACTGTGCTTTATGGGACTAAATTCTAACATCTCTTCCTCAAGACTATTGCACTTCTTACTCACTGTGACTACTCTAATGAACACTTCAGACACTCTCAGCAATTACTAGCCTCATTTCATAATCAAAATTACCACACAATATCCTGTTTGACAAGTGAGGAAACTGAGGCATAGAGAGATTGCCGTTTACCCTAGATCTCACAGTAATCGCGCATTGGAGCAAAGGCCTTACCCACTTCATCCTCTTCTCTAGTTATGGGTGACCTGCTAACTCCTAGGCATCCTTCAGGATTCAGCCTTTAGCTCTACAGTCAAGCTTCCCTGTCCCTGGGCCAGTCAATGTCAGAGCACATTGGGTGTCCCCTTGGAGGCGACCCCTACAGAGATCAGTGATTAGGCAGTTCTGTGTTAAACCAAAGGGTCCCAAGAATTTGGGCCCTTTAGCCATCTTTTTGTGAATGATAGCGCTATGCACCTGAACTTTCGTGCTAGGAATAGTTGGGTGCTCCTGCCTGTTCTGACCTAGGTGCCTGCCTGCTTCAGGCTTTGTGGGTCCCTCCTACAATCTCCTTATTAATTCTCCTGTCCTGTTTGTTCGCCATGAGCCCTACCCCCACCTAACTCTTGTGCCCACACTGCCACCCAGTGGCACTCCTTCTTATGACCTCACTAGCCAAATCTCAACATCATCATGCTGTAGGCTCCCCTGGCCCTCCCCTCCTAGAACAATCACAAATACATAGCAGTGCTTTCCTCAACATCTGGCTGATGTGGCCTCTGTCCTTATCATGAGCAGCCTCCCCTCTCCCTGAAGGACAGTCCATGTGTGTGTGTACATCTGCTCCCCTTACTCATTGGATCTCTTGATCACTGTACACTACTTCAAAGGCCTCAATCTCTGTCCCCTGCTGTACAGCTATTATGGAAGGCTGTGTAAGCAAGTCTGCCAACATAAACCCACCCCACCCAGGCCCAGTCACCCTACATACTGAATCTTCCCATCAGTGTGAAGGAGGATGAGGCAGGTGATTGCTGAAATATGAGCCCTGAGAGGAAAGCACATATTCAGACTGTCCTTGGTTAAGTGAGCAATTGTAAAACCTCTGCATATGATGGATGCATGTGAGCAATATGTGTATGTCTGTGTAAATAGGGGCATTGGAGTGGAACTTGGAGAGGAGAATATCACCAATTGGTTTCATTTTACACTTCTGTATGGCTTGAATTAACTACAACAAGCAAGTTTTACTTTTGCAAGTAAAAATCTTAATAAAGAGCTAGATACAATGGAACACCACATGCCAGTAATCCCAGTTACTTGGGAGGCTGAGGCAGGAGAATCTCAAGTTTGAGGCCAGTTTCAGCAACTTAGTGAGATCCTATCTCAATTTTTTTTTTTTTTTTGGTGTGTGTGTATGTGGTGCTGAGGATTGAACCCAGGGCTTTATGCAGGTGAGGCAAGCACTCTACCAACTGAGCTATCTCCCCAGCTTATTTTTTTTTAAGTGAAAACAAAGCCTGGTAAGCGGGCACATACCTGTAATCCCAGTGGTTCAGGAGGCTGAGGCAGGAGGATCACAAGTTCAAAGCCAGTCTCGGTAAAGTGAGGCACTAAGCAACTCAGTGAGTTGCATCTCTAAATAAACTACAAATAGGGCTGGGGATGTGGCTCAGTGGTGGAGTGCCTCTGAGTTCAATCCCTGGTCCCCCCCCACAAAAAAAAGTAAAAACCATACAAACTTTAAAAAATCACAAGTATAAAAAATTTTAGTGCAACTGTAATCTAATACCATTTTTAAGAAAAAAAAAAATCCTCTAAGATGCCTTTGGCTAGGATAGGGAACCAACCTCTACCCTCAGTTGTTTAGCCCTCTGCTCACTTGCAAGACTCTGCTCATCCAGAATGAGAACTTGCTTGGCCTTAGGTTCACCAGGCTCAAACAAGCTGCCTCCAAAGGGCAGTGCCTTCCCTAGCCTATTAGTAGTAGAAGCTTCCAGATTGCAGGGTTTCCTTCAAAGCTCTGAGATCTTGGATCTGATTCTCAGATGTATTAAGGACATTTATCCTGGACCCATCTGGGCATAGGTGTGGGCATGCACATGTATATTTGTGGGCGTATTTATTTATGCATATGCACATTTCCATGTTTGCATTTGTTTATGCATATGAATGCACTTGTGTGTGCATGTGCAAGAGCATGTGTAATATGAATATATAAAAGTATGCTTGCATAGGTGGAAGTGTGTGGGGAGGCAGAGATCCATGAGAGGAGGACACAGTTTGAGGGTAGGAGTTTATCCCTAAGGTTGTGCTCTGGGTTTGGAATGGGGGCTCTGTTGGGATATCTGCTGACTTTGAGCAAGTCACTTTGACCTCTCTGAGCTTGTGTTTACTCTGTGTTTATAATATGGGCCCAAAGGGATGGGTATGCTCTCCCTTCTCCAGATTTAGTGAGGTTATGGGTGTCCAGATAGAGCATCTTCCCAGCATCTGAGAAGTGTTCAGGGTGTCAAGGAGTGTTCAGTCATGGTCGGCTGAAGCCCTTCCCTGGGGACCCCTGTTTCTCTGAATTGAAGGTCACCTGGAGGAGACAGGGGCAGAGACCCCAAGCTCCTATCCCCACTCAAAACATGCACATAGAACGTGCCTATCAATAGTTGTAGCACCCTTGGCTCACTCACTTTGTTCCTCACAGAGATGTTGTCAGAGATGCAGGATGTTGTTGCACAAACAGGAGGATACCAAGTTTCTGCTCTGTGGGAGCTACTGCTCTGAGGAGCCTGCGCTGCAGGTTCGTGTGTGTTCGCCCGCGCGTGTATGTGTATGTGTGTGTGTGCGAGCGCGCGCGCGTGTGTTGTGGGAAGCTGTGGAGTTAGGCCTCAATTCTGAAGTCCCGAGAAGAATGGCTTGGGTGGGACCGGGGTCGCAGAGCATGCAGTCCTAAGGATGGCCTGTAGATGGCAGAAGTGCCCCGTACAGAGACCCTGCCTGGATCCTCACCTTTTCAGACTTCACAAAGTAGCTTTCTTTAGGGTCCCTCAGCTTTCAGGTTTGGGCTGGGATTCGGGGATACTGGAGTGGGGTAATGCGGATTCACCCAGGAGACATCCACAGCCACATTTTCTGTGACTCTAGACAAGTCGTTTCCTCTCTGGCAGTCTCACTTTTCTCTGTAATATGAGAGACTGAGTTGGAGAAACTGGCTAAGGTAGGTTAAGATGAGCTCAGAATGAAGTAGAGGGCTAAACGTGGAAAGGAAAACTAAGAGGCAATAGAGCATATGTCACTAGGATGGGGGAAGATTTTATTTTTATTTTTGGTACTGGGGATTGAACCTAGGGGCGCTGTACCATTAAGCTACATCCCCAGCCTTTTTTATTTTGAGACAGGGTCTCACTAAGTTGAAGTTCTTGCTAAGTTGCTGGGGTTGGCCACGAGCTTGGGATCCTCCTGCCTCAGCCTCTGGAGTCGCTGGGATGGAGAAGCGTTTTTAAACACCACATCAAAAGCTCAAATCATAAAATAAAAAGTTGATGTGTGACCAAGTGGAAAATAAAAATTTCTGGTCCAACAACGCTATATAGCAAAGGAGAAAATGAGCCAAGGACGTAAGTAGGAAGTGCACAGAAGGGGGCAGTAGCCAGTGCAGGAAAAAGGCCAAGAGCTGCAGGGACTAGAGAGTCCCGAATCAAAGAGATGCCCCTTTCCTCTGCGAGCTGGCAAAAATTAAGAAGTTGGTTACTGGAGTGGAGGGCGGTTAGCCAGAACCAAGGGAAGCTGGAAGCCTAGCAAGCCATACTGCAGGGCCGCCTGGAAGCGTGCAGAGAGAACACTCGACTCAAGTAGAAGCTTCAAGAGAAACAAGATGTCTTGTGCTGTCATTTTCTAGGTCGCGGTTTAAAATCTGGGGCTGGATAGCTCGTGCAGGGGTCCCCTGCTCCAGGACGGTTACGGCCCCTTCAGGAAATCACGCCCCCTATTTTCTCCCGGCCCTGGGGCGGGGCCTGACAGGGGCTCTTGCTGTGTCTAGTCTGGCCCGGGCCCGCCTGGCCCTTTAAGGCTGACCTAGCGGGGCCCCAAGTCCGTGTGACGCGCAGGACGTCACGTGGGCCGCGGGCGGCTCGACTCTCGGCCCAGGGCGCCCCTCCGCCGCCGGCTCCCGCGATTGCTGCCCCTGTCCCTCTTACCAGCGCCGCCGTCAAGTGCCTTGCTGCCAGGTACGCCGTCGTCAGGTATGCCTCCCTTGCCTCCAGTGCGACCCACTCTCAGGACTTTGCAGCCACTGGGCACACAACTTCTTCTCTTGACACGTGCTTGGGAGAGATTAGCTTAAGTCTGGCTGAGGGACCACCGCCTCCTCCTGCACGCCAGTTCTCTCAGGAGCTTCGCCTCATGTTCCCAGCTTGTCCCCAGAACAGCTTAGGCACTCCTAGGCTGGGGTGTGTTGGAAAAGTCTGGGTGGGGAGTTACTCTTTCCCTTTCTCCCAGGTGCCCCTGGACGCGCCAGGCTGGGGCCGCCCCTGAGAGCCCCGCGGGGGCCATGGATGTCGAGACAGCAGAGGAGCAGGGGGTTCCTGTGCCCCCTCCAGGTGCACTCGGGGGACCAGGCTTGGGGGTTGCTCCGGCCCTCGGGGGGCGGCGGGAGCCCAAGAAATACGCGGTGACAGATGACTACCAGTTATCCAAGCAGGTGCTGGGCCTGGGTGTGAACGGCAAGGTGCTGGAGTGCTTCCACCGGCGCACTGGGCAGAAGTGTGCCCTGAAGGTTAGTGACCCCTCACTGAGGCCTGGGGTGACCTGGAGGGTTCAGTAATAGAGACCTGAGTGTTTCACTTATGTCCAGGTTACTGTTAGGCTTCCTACGCTCAGCGTCATGTTTCACCCTCGTACTCTTCTATAAGGTTAAGGTCAGTTCTCCCTGCTTCACAAATGGGGAAACAGAGGCTTATCCTAGCTAAGCTCAGGGTGTCCCAGTTAGCAAGGGGTGGAGTCAGTATGGGTAGAGCTGTTGTACCCGGAAGGAGGGAAGGAGTGGCCTGGGACTCTAGTTCTGGCTGGGCCTATGTGTTCAGGCCCAAAGGAGACCCACTCAGCTTGAATACCCCCAAAGAGAAGCTTCTGTGTCTGGGATGGGTCTGAGTTTCCCTCTGACACTGAGCACCCACCTTGCTTGGGATGGGGCTGCTTCCTCCTTGTTGCCCTGGGTAGGAGTGGTAGGAGCCTCTCAGGGCTGGTCAGTGGGCAAGGCCCATCACTCCTTAGGGCAGGGGGCTTCTGCTGGGCTCCTGATGAGTCACCAGTCCTAGCCAGGCCCTACCCCAAGCTCAACCTATCCTGCTTCCTGTGTAGAGAGTGGCCTATTCTTTTAGCCACGTTGTGGTACTATAGGCTCCCTGGAGGCCTGGAACACTGATCTAAGTGAAATGGAGGTGGATGTCTTGGAGTGACTGATCTAGTTACTTGATTCTGGCTTAAGACACACAGTTCTGGCCCAGGACCCTGCCCATACCCAGAATCACTTGAATCTGCTATCATTGGGAATTTGAATTATCTGCGGTTCATGCCAGAGGCACCTGGATGGGAGAGTGGCTTCTGCAAGTTAGATGCACAGCAAAAAGTTTTCCCATTTTACAAGTTGTGATTACAAGCCTGAGTACAGAGTACTAGAGATGTGGCTCTAATCTCTGCTCTGTGTTTGCCAGCTTTGTGACCTTGGACAATATCCTAGACTTTTGAAGCCAGGTTTATGCCTTTGTTTGGGGGGAAAGAACAGGAGTTTTAAGCTCAAACTGAGAAGATGCATGTAAGTACTTGGTAAAGGGCATGGTATAGGTTTGGAGAGGTATGGGACATTTTTAGGGCACAATATCTGCAAGTATCTGAGCAGGAACCTGGGCTCAGCTCTTTGTATTTTTCCCAGGGGCATTGGGGCAGATAGTGGCCCTGTAGGGAATCATGAACATGAGTCTGGGGGCAATAAGGGCTGGGCTGGTAGGGCTAGGCCGCAGGCATTCTTTGCCTACTAACTCAACAGTGGAATGGCGAGAGGGACTTTTGGAGGACCAAGGAGGGGATTCTCTTAATACCTCAGGAAAAAGTGGCTCTTCTGAGAGCCAATGGGTGCAAGAGAATGAGAAATGAGCCTTCATCTTCTCCTTGGCACCCATTTAGCCCTTCCACCTGTGCTAGGGTAGGAGGTAGTCTGAGTGGGTGTGGAACTGACTGAGGCCAGAGAACTTATTCTCCATACCAAGACTTTGGTCCTGGGAGTCAGGACTGAACTCTGAGCTGTCCCTGTATGGTCTACATGCTGTAAACAAGGCAGGGGTGGGGTGGTAGGCCACAGTAGTATCAGCTTTAAGTAGGACTAAGACTTTCTGTGTAGATGCTGAATCTGACAGGTGACTTGGGGGAACTTCTGATTGTATCAACTTCCATAGTATCTCCTCTTGGACATAGGGCCTCAGTGATCTCCCTATCCTGGGCTGGGAACTGGGGCAGGCCTGGAATGAGTTTCCTTCTAGCTCTTTAGATTATAGGTGAGCATGGCTGGGGTTACTGGCTTAGGACTTTTGGGACCTGGCCCTACATTGATCCTCAAAGGGGAGAGGCATTAGATGTGGCTCTCTCCCCAGCTCCTTCCTGTTTTTGCCCCCCTTCCCCCCAAAAAAGTTACAGAGTCTCAAATTCCCTACTCAGCTGAGCATACTCACCATCCCCGAAGATTGGGGTCAGCTATGGGGAAGTTTGGAGAAGCTATGAGACATTTTTAGGGCACAAAATCTGCAAGTATCTGGAGCAGGAACCTGGGCTCAGTTTTTTATATCTTTTCCAGGGGCACTGGAGCAGATAGAGATGATCTTCCCCAGTAATTGTACAGGTACTTTGGTGATAGCTGTGGCCATTCAGAGGGAGGTGGCATCTCCCTACCATTAGCTTCTGCTCTCTGCCCAGGAGGGCCAGGACCTGGGGACCTCACTACATGTGTAGGCTTGGGCCCAGGGAGTTCAGCCAACACTCATGAATGGGTCCCAGCCCTCTCGTGGTCTCTGCTTAGCCCTCTTGCTATCTGCCCTAGCTCAGCCTAGGTGAAGGTCATGACTCTGGGCTTTTCTGTCTCTCCAGGGCTATATCTCATCTATCCTTATTTTGTTTAGGCCATTTCTGCTTCTCTCTCATCCTCTGGCCCTGTTGCTAGAAATGGTACCTATGTACCACTTGTCTCAGCAGAAAGCCTGGAATATAGCAGGCCCTCATAAAATAGGAAGACTATGGTCACTGTCCCTGTAGCTATTGCTGTTTTGTGGGGTCCCTAGAGGAGTAGGTCCTTCCCTCCCTGGGAGCTGGGCCTCTTCCCCTTTCCATTAGAGCCTAACCACCCACTTGCTTCATCTTGACCTCACTCACAGCAAAGCCTCCCTCACCAGTCCAAGCCATCACCAGTGCAGCCATTCTGCTCTCCATGCCACACCAAGTACTTGTTACTGTCCTGTTGGCAGGAACTGGAGGGACTGGTTGCCTTAGGAGAGGGCATAGGGATAGGCAGTCCTCCTGCTTCTACTTCTCCTGCAACCTCTTGCTTGTGTCCCCTCCCAAGCCTAAATGGTTAATTGGCAGTCTTCAGCTTTACCTCAAACTGGGCAAGGCCTGCAAATTTGTCACCCATCAGTTATGCCAGTATACCCAAGACCCTTATCATGTATGTAAAAACTGGGACCTTGAGTTAGTGGTCGGAAGTCACATGACTTGACGTGGGGGAAGGGATTGCAGCAAGGGCCAGAATTTCCTCCCCTCCTGACTTCCTGTCACCACTGCTTATGGTTGTCTGCCTTCTGGCAGGCAAAAATGACCATGGCACTTAATACCTCTAAATATAAGCAATAGAAAACAATGTAGGGGATCTGCAGATGGGAGTAAAGGTGAAGGTCTTCTTTCCTGGCTCTGCTTCCAGACTGAGGGATTGGAGCCTTTCACCTTCATCACTGGACCCTAGTGGGCTCCCAATTCCTGTTCCCTTCCAGAGAGTCCTCTGGGTGGAATCTCTTTAGTATCCTTCTCCTTTTGGTTCCAGAATTAGGGAAGTTTCTGAGGCTACCTCACACAGGACAGTTCTCTTACCCTTGGTGTTAGATGGCTGTAGCTAGCAGGCTGTTCTGCATGCTGTATGTGGTGTCCCAAAGCACAGTGCTGAGGAGGACACATTTTCCCTGACAGGTGGGAAAGAAAGCCCTGGCGACCAGGAGGCCTTGCCTGAGTTCACATATGAATTTAAGGACTTGGCTCTACATACTCTGAGACTCTAAATGTGGCATGACAGGCCAGCCCTCTTGCTTTTTCTCCCTAGGTGATATCTTCGCTTTTACACACTGGAGAATCTCTTCTCATCTGTTAAGATTCAGCTTCACTGCTCCTCTTCCAGGAATCTGTCCAGAGTCCCTGACTTTGGGGCTATGGAATCTTCTTTTTTTGGTACTGGAGATTGAACTCAGGGGCACTGAGCCACATCCCCAACCGTATTTTGTATTTTATTTAGAATCAGGGTCTCACTGAGTTGCTTAGCACCTCGCTTTTGCTGAGGCTGGCTTTGAACTCGCAATCCTCCTGCCTCAGCCTCCTGAGCTACTAGGATTACAGGCATGTGCCACCACACCTGGCTATGGAAACTTTGACCCCTAAAGCTGTAGTAGTCACTTTTGACTCAAAGATCCCTTGTTGCATCTTGGTCTGGGGCCTGACATACAATAGGGACTCCTAAATGCCTATTGAAATGACCATGTGTTGTACCTCTGAGCTTTTGAAAGAGCACTAGGATCTAGACTTTTTCCAGTTTCTTCTCTAAAGGATAGGGGTTCTCTAACTGCATTTCAAAGAAAAGCTACAAGGACATGTTCTTTTCCCTGAGATTTGGCAAAGGAACTCAACTGAAACTTTGCAAAGGAACTCAACAACTCTACTGCCCCCAGACAAAGCCCATGCAGAAGGCCTGGGAGAAGGGAAGTGCCTTTCCATGAGGCTGTTCCTGTCTCCTGCCTACCATCTAGGCCACATTTTCAAGCAGAGGGGCTCTCTCTAACCAGAATGCCAGGAGGAAGGTAGAATGGGAGGAAGTCAGACACAGGAAGCCCAGGACCCTGGATGCCCCACCCTCAGCGGGGAGATGGAGTCCATTGCACTAGAACCTGTCAGGGCTGGTGCTGCAGAGCTGGATTTGAAACTGGGTGGGGCTGCCAGATAGGCCAGCCCTTTCTCATCTGGCAGCCACCACCCCCTCACCTACTATCTCCAGACTGGTCAGATCAGTCTCCATAGAGCTACTTGTTACTGAGTCAACAAATCAGGAGCATGTGGAGGGGCTGGTGACCCTGTGTAAGAGAGTGCCTGGAAATTAAATAGTTTCACTGCACCCAAGGTTCTCTCCAGGCTGCCCCTCACCTGGTAGGAAAGAATCTGAGGCATTCTGAGCTACCACAGGTGGCACCTTCTGAACTTCCAGGGGTGGGCAATTTGCTTTTTAAACTGGGGAGGACATCAAAACCCACAGAATGCAGAAGTAAAATTTAGGTGGGGATGATTGTTTTGAGATACTTTGTACCATACCTGGGTAGAAAGCTGTTTTCTCAGCCTGCCTTCAAGATTACCTCTGCTGGGGCTTCTAGGATTTTTTTTTTTTCCCATCCCATGCAGAAGCTGATGCCAGCCCTCCAGATTTCAGTCCTTGGTGTTGTGGATTCTAATACCCTCTCCATAACAGCTAGCAATTTTTTG